CCTCATGCTAACGAAAACTGACTAAAGATGCTGAGTAAGATATCTTTCCAAGAATACTTAAACGATCAGTGAGTTGGGAAGTTAGTAAGGAACACTCAGAGGCCAGAACCCGTGTTAGAGCAAGAACCTGGAAGACACTCGCCCCCAGCTTCCTCCCTGAGGGCAGTTGACACAGGTGGCGCACTCGGGGCTGGGTGTTCACAGCCTCACAGGGCAGGGACTGGCGGCAAATCCCAGGGTTTGCCCCGCTGCTCCCCTCACCCCACCCTGCGTGAAGGCGAGACCTCAGGGAGCTCCCGCCAATGTGAGAGCAGACCAGAGCACAGCCCGACTCGGTGCCACTTCAGATCTCACACACACGTGTGTCCCACCGATGCCCACATGTGCACACGTGTGCACACACATGCACACACTCAGGACAACTGTCTGGGATGCGCCTCTGGGAGAGGTCGCAGCTGGAGATTTGGATGTGAGAGCTGTCCACGTTTCCATGGTAATAGAAATCCCCGAGCCGGGACCAGGTCCCAAGCGTTGATCACAGGGAGGCAAGAGACCAGGGACCCAGAGACACAAGATGAGGAAGAACCTGGGGTGAGCAGGTGCTGAATCCTGGGGGGAGAAGGTATCGAGGAGGTGCCGCGAGGACTGAAATTCGACTGCTGGATTTAGCAACGTGTAGCATTCTGATGGCTCGGCAGGAGCAGTCTTGCTGCGATAGCAAAAGTCAGATCGTGAGTGAAGCCACTTCTGAGCCAAGACGCCATGCAGAGGTCGCAGACCAAATAGCCGCGCCCAGGGCCTGGAGCCTGCACTTTAGCAAGTTCCTCCTGGTGATCCTGACGCCGGTGGCGGCACAGCTACGTTACGAGCCTCGGGGCAAGGTGCTGTTCCCGGGCGGGCGCATGACGTGCTCGTGCCTGGGAGGGGTGAGTCGTGGGGCTCTGTCGTCACAGCTTCGTGTGACCCAGCCCCATGCTCAGCTGAGCGTCAGGAGGACTCTGCCAAAGCTCTCCTCAAAGCCAGGTCTCATTCACCTGTCCTTGCCGCATCTGCTGGTCTATCAACAATATCAGAAGTCGAAGTTAGCTGTTTAAACCACCTGTTTAATAATTTCTTCTATCATTTTTCTGGGCATCGATACCCTGCACATGAATCAGTGATTCCTGTTAACAGAATGACCACTCCCCCTTTTTTGGAAATAAAGCCAACACTTGCCTAGTGTTTATTTCCTATGTCTCTATCATTAATATTTCACAGCTGTTAATTTTTACTTTTCATAAATGTCATACTTTTAGTGACATGAAAAGCAGATGATTCAGAACAGAGGAAATTACCTGAGAAGGCCACTTTGGCTAGAGGAAGGCAGGGCGCTGTTGTTGGGTAGCCCCGCCCCGCCGGCCCGGCCACTGCTCTCACTGCCCCTCCCGCTTCCGGCCTCCCCCCGCAGCTGCTGGAGAACCTGCAGGCCCTTTTGCATGGCTTGGAATTGCAAATGCAGTTCAGGTTTTAAAAATCCATCTCCACAAGTTGTTTTATCACATTTTAGCATCATTTAAACAATTTATATCTCCAGTTTTTATCTCTCACATTGCAAAATCTTTGGCATCTTTGCCTGGGGAGTGAGCACCTGGTCATGGTACCAGCTTCTCCTCCTAGATCTCTCACGTTATTTTTAAAAATACCACTCACAGGAGCTTTGCGAGGAACCAAATGTCTAGTGCCGTGCGTGTGGCAGATTTAGCAACAGACTTCATCTTCCAGAGGGAATCGCGTTAAAATCCACAGAGCTCTAGATGAAGCAACCGACCTCCCGAAAGAGATGAGCCACTTATTTCCGAATGAAACATGAATAATGCTTTTATTCCAGTCGCCCTGTAGGGCAACATTCTCGAAATGATGCGGAGGGCAGGGCTGTGCGGAAAGGTTCAAGCCGCCGCGCCCGCTCCTGCCTGGCTTCATCTGCGCTTTTCTGTTCGCACAGAACCTGCCATCAGCACCGAGTTCCCTGGAGCGCCGGACCTCTTTTTGTTTTGTTTTAGTTCTTGGTAAAGTGAAGAACAAAGTGAAGCGTCCTCAGTCAAGTTGAGCTAACATGTCACTGTGAATGCAGAACTCTGAAATCTGAAATGTGGGAGTGACACTCTTTGTTCCTTTTTCTCCGTCGATAGTGGAGATTCTCTGCTGTTGAAGACCTTACTGATTTTAAGCGAGAAATGAACTGTACTGCAATATTACCAGGGAAGAGAACTGGCGTTTTTCTTCTTGTTCTAGGAGATGAAATTATGTATGTGCTTCGGGTACATCTGCTCTGAATACTTTGACAGCGGGAATCTGCACAAACCTTGACATGTGATGAGAGATTTGCGCCTAAACCTCTGATGTGAAATGTTCCGGCACTGACTCGAGAAGGTGAACCACTGCAATGAAGGCGGGGTGCCGCGGACGAGGCGGCCTGGGGTGCCGAGCTGGGTGTTCTTAGAAAGGTGTGAAGCCCACTTCAGAGGCCGGCTTACCAGGAGCAGGGGAGCCCGGGGGACTCCTGAGGGGCAGAGGTGACGGGCGTGCTGGCCTGGGTGCTGCTGGCTCCTGCTGGGCAGGGCCGTCTGATGCGTGTCCCGCGTAGCAGCGCGGAGGACCAGGGCCCGACGGCGGCGTGAGCTCGCTCACCGGCTGTGGGCCTCGGCTCTCCGGGAAGAGCTGCGGAAGGAACAGAAGGGCCTAAAAGCCTTTGGGGAGCGCACGTAAGTGCTGTGACATGTGCCTGCGGGAGAGAGCCGTGGACGTCCAGTCTAAGCCCCCTGCGTCTGCTGCCTTCTTGCCGTTTTCGTCCTCGCACCCGCCCCATGCCTGTGGACGTGCGGATTTTACCTTCCTGTGCTCACATCACCGAAATGAAGCCACAGAAAGATGAGCTTCGGTGATTATTACCTTTTTCGTAGCGTAGGTGTTGCATTAGCACAGGTGTGCGATGGAAGTTATTTTGGGAGGGGAGTTGGGAGTCGGGTGACTCACGCCGTCGGCATAGGTAGGGGACGTTAAAGGCCCATTCCGGAAGTGTTTTCTTAACTGAGGAGGGGCGTGTTATTCTTATTTAAATGGCAAGTACTCTTCAATTTCTTTCTCCCACTGGTAGGTCAATGACAGGAAAAGATAGCATATATGTTTCTATGGGGACCTGGAGAATTTTTTAGAACTCCAGCTCTTGGCTTTGTTTTCTACGTGGGAAGCCAGTCTTCAGCTGCCACATCAGTGCAGTTGTCCTTGTAGGCATTACAGGTGACACAGGCAGAGCCCAGAGTCCCCGTTTCAGTCTTCGTATCCATTGTAAATCGGGAGATTTCACTACAAAAGCTGCATAACCTCCTGTAGCTAAAGTGATCCTGCAATTCCAGAAAGCCTGAGCTACAAAGCTGGAATGTCTCAGAATGTGATTGCTGCCCCCAAATGACGATCTAAATAAATATAATGCCCTCTGGTTGGGCGATGCCTCCAGCATTTTTACTTATTTATTCAAGAAGTAATTATAAAGCAATGAAATTATAATTTTATATCTTCTAACTGAGCTCATATAAACTTCATGAATGACAAAAGAGAATCAATTTGGCTATGTTCATTGTCTTCACAAATAAATAAGCCATTGTTTTTACAAAAACAGCAAATAATCCGTGAAGATACAGAGATGGAAGCGTTTCCTTTGTCAGAGGGAAAAGCCAGAGATAACTGCTCTGCCGGGTGCGGTTTCACAGCCAAGACCACCTTCCTGCTTTCGTAGGTGCCTGTATTTGTTATTCGGAGGCGAAATAATAAAATTTATTAGTGACTATTTTGAGAAACTGAATTTTTCAAACATTGTAATGCAAGTTATTGCTGATTTCATTCGAAAGTATTTGCTCTTAGACTGAAATAGGAGGAGGAGATAGGTGGCTTCAAAGTCCGCGGTCGACTGGAACCCACCTCTGTCACTTCTTGCTGTGTAACCGGAGTCTCAGGAGAAGAGTTCCGCTTTGTAGCGTTTTGTAACGAATAGGAGAAATGACATACGAAAAGCCCTTGGCTCCAGAGCACCCTCTGCATGCACTTCCTGGCAGCTGTTTCAGATGTTTTCATCCAGCTCCCACTGACGTTTGTTAGCCCCTCACCCAACGCCGGCACCGTGGAAAGGTGTGGAAAGGGGTGGAAAGGTGTGAAGCGTCGGGTGTGTGAAGGGTCGAAAGAGACTCTCGGAGAAGTACAGAGAGAAACTCCAGCAACAGCCAGGCTCTAATGTCCCATGTTGGGGAAAACACCTGCTCTCCAGAGCTCCCGTTTCAGTTGCCACCATGTGGGCAGTAGCCTGTCCCTGTGCAAGGAATGTGTCTTTGGGGACAGGAATTTTCTATGATGAAAATTTGTAAAGATTTCTGTCCATGTTTTAACTAAAAGACTCTTTTTCCTAAGGGAAAATCTAGCTTCTGGGCAGGCAGAAAATCTCACCTGAGTGCTTCTTCTAAAACATTACAGTCTGTACGACGGCAATGAAGGTTCCTGGCATTCGCGGTGGCAGACGTGTCAGAATAGTGTGAAGGGGAGCAGCAGAGTAGACGCCTGCATCGCACAAACCACTTCCACGTGTGGGGACCCAGCGGTGCCCTGTCGAGCACAGCAGTGCTGACAGTAAAACAAAAGCCCTCTCAGTGCCACCTTGTTCCCATACCTAACCTTTTCCCAAACTGTTAAGGGACAGATGGATTTCACTGAGAGTACCTTGAGGTCTTCTTGGTGAAACCAAATGGCAAACATCCGTGGAGAAAAGAAACAATAAAAGCTGACGTGGCGGTGAACAGTGATTGGCGCGTGTCACCACGATCATTACGTAAAGCTGAATGGCGTGTAGCTTTCCAACTCCAGCGCTAAAACCCGTAGTTACCCATCTCGCCGTGGCTGTGGGGAAGGAGAGTTGTCACTGAGCCAAAGGAAGCCCTGGCTTTGTGTTTGTGTCACCTGTCGCTGCTCTCTTGTAGGAAGAAGGCATCGTGAAGGAGATCGACATCAGTCACCATGTGAAAGAAGGATTCGAGAAGGCAGACCCTTCCCAGTTTGAGCTGCTGAAAGTTTTAGGCCAAGGATCCTACGGAAAGGTAAGTTAAACTCCCTGATTGGTCCTACTGAGTCTCCTGATCACGAAAGAGACGCGGGCGGAACTCGAGTGGGTGAACCTTGCAGGTGGTGCTCACTGTGGCAGCGCCCGAGTTACCTGCACCCCACCCTCCCACCGCTTTGCACAGCTGGAGTCCCCTTACCACGGAGCTGTGCCTCCCCACGACCCCCTGTGCCCTGGAGACTGTCACACACACGTTGGTTCCCTCTCTAATAGCTTCCCTAGGCCTTTGGTTTATCTCCAAGGCGAGCAGAGTCACGGGATGTGAGCCAGTGTGTCTCTGAAAGAGCGTCCTCAGCAGCTGCTTTTCCAAAAGAAAGGAAAAATAAGAGAACAAGGAAAAAAGGAAACAGCACCCTCTGGATGGGCACGTGACTGTCACTCGGGACTCAGGGAGGCTGGGGCTGCAGCCTGCCCCCTCCTCACCCCTCACGTCATTGCAGTTATTTTGCCTCTTGAAGTCTCAGTTTGCCCATCCATAAAATGGAGATAATATTACCTCCTTCTTACCCATAATTATTCTATGGGTTAAATACAACACAAATCCCATCCAGCGGTTGCCTGAGATGTGTGTGTGCACTAGAATTGTTCATTTCCTTTCTTTTTTCACGTTGAGATTATAGCAATAAAGGCACATTTCTTTCAGGAAATGAGAAATAGTTGGCTCCTCCTATAGTGCCACATCCATAAACAACAAGATGTCAATAAAGAGCTTTCGGCTGCGATGACGTGTGACTTCCCCAGCCCAGTGCTGACTCCCTGCACCTTGGCGTGGCTGGTAGAGATACACAGGCTCTGACCACTTGATTTCTAGAACATAAGGGCCTGCAGTAAACCACAGAGCCAGCCGTTCCCCAAGCGTAAGCAGCACAGTCCTGGCTCTTTAAAGTAGCCATTTTTGTGTGGCATGTGGACATTCGCCAAATCTTTGCATTCTTCACGACTTTGAGCCAAAACGAAGTCCGGGTCCCGTTGATGTGAAAGTAGAATTAATAGCATGTTAACGTCCCGGTCAGCCCCTGCAGAGCACCTCAGTTTGGTTGCCTGCAAAATGTGTATCTGTCGTGCTCGTACGGTAGAATCTCTCTTTCTTTTCCGCGTGGTGGTGTGGCAGGGAACATGTGTTTATACTGGTGCACATACCAGTGCATAGACTAAGCCATGCAACATTACCAGTATTTAACGATTTGGGGCCTGTCGAAATGGCTATTTAACACGGTTCACACGGTGTTTACGGAAGTGGGGAAACAAAGATGCCAGTCTCTCGCGACGTAAACAGCCACTGCCAGAACGCAGAAGGCAGAGCCCATTTGCTGTGGCAGCGGAATGTCTCGTCGTTAGCTAGAAATGTAGGGAAAATGAGAGAGGGGCATGATTCTCTCTCTAAGCACCGTGATTTGGAAACAGACAGGCAGGGGTCTCTCCCTTTTCTGCCTTTCGTAGGCATCGCGCACGCGCCGTTTCTTGAGAACAAGTCCAGCCTGTGCCGGCACAGAGCTGAACGCCTTTAGCCGGAGGGAAGGAGGTCTGGCCCGCGGCTGAGCCCGGGAGGGTTTGGAGGGCTTGGTCGACCGGCTGCACTACCGAGTGAGCCTTCTTACGGTGCAGATGCCGCCAGCCCATGTCAAGGCCGAAGCGCCCGAGCGCCTGGTAACGGAGCCGGGAAAGGCTTTCCGAGCTCCGTGGGACACAGCGCTCAACCCCCAGGCTGCGGAGCATCCCCTCGGTGGTGCAGCGGTACGAGCACGGCCCTCAGGGGCGTCCTCCCAGAGAACCGGGGTATTGATGATGAAAGGAGAAAAGGCTTTTCCAACTCCCTCATTCAAATTTTGAATTTTAATTTTGCTTTAAAAAAAAAAACGTTTTTGGAGAATGAAGAGTCTTTGGCAGAATCCTCTTGGAGTGTTAATGTCCTTACGACCCTGTCCCTTCCTTCCCGGCCTCTCATCACTTCTCATTTTATATTTACTTATGTCAGTATCTGAGCAGTGAGACAGTCCAGTGGTGAGGAAGGACGGCAAGGGGAGGGAGCAGGACCGGCAGTGGACAGTCACCTGGGGGACCGCGCGGGGGGCCGCCCAGCCGCTGCCGTGAGACGCCATGGGGCCGGCCGGGTCGGCCATGGACGTGGAGCTCGGATCTGCCCAGGAGACTCACATGAACAGGACTCGTTGTTCTTGAAAGCTTCACTCAGAAGGTCCCTGGGAGGTTTGGAGCCAACACTAGGCACTAGAGAGTCACAGATACCAATTCCACGCAGAAGTTTGTTGTGAGTTATTTTATGAAAGCAAAGCTAATGACCAGAAGGGGAAAAGCCGTATGCCGTCATGCCCAATTTTATCGTATTTCTCCTCTGCAGATAAAAATAGCACGTCCGTCCGTGAGAGTGATCTTCCTTTGCTACCTGCAAGGGGAAAGAAGTGCAGGGCGGGAGGTTTCCATCCTGTAGACGGCTCCTGTTCAACAGGTGTCCACTTCTTGCCTGGTTCCCAAGAGCAAAGACGTGTGAATCTGGACCCCAGCGTCCCCAGGGCAGGCCCTGCCAGGAGCCCCGTCCCCAGGCTGCTCCATTCTTTCCTTCGTGTTTAATGACCGAAGACCCTGAGATGCAGAAATGAGTGAAGTGCACTCTCTGCCCCCAGGCACCATGTGAGAGTGACTGTCATCATGCCCCTGGCTATGTGAGCTCTTTAATAATGTTCTTCTTGTCAGTGCTCTCCGCTTGGACAGCCACAGTGAGATTGCTCCTGTGACAAGAGCAACTGTCGCCCCCAGAGGGTCACATCTCTGGTCATGGGATTTCTTACCAGGGACCCTTTAGGTGCAAGAGCCACCAGGTGTCCCACGTGCTGGAGCACACGAGGTCCCCACCTGGTCCTGCAAAGCAAAGCCATCGTGACTTCCACCACGTCTGGAGAGCAGGGCCATAGATGGTGCTTGGGACAAGAGAAAGACATGCAAACACCTTATCCTCTAAGAGACAAGCAGCTTAAACACTGAATCCGGGAGCAGTGAAAGCTGGCGGAGCGTGCTCCGCGTCGAAGCGAGTGCTGCAGACCAGACGCTCCCTGAGGGCTCAGAGGCCCCCTCGCCTCTCATTCCGTCCCCTCACTTGCTCCTTGAGTGCCCTTGTGTGGACACATGCCGGGCGTGGTGCAGAAACTTTTTTTTTCTTTGTTCTGGGGAATGGGCTGTAAGTTAGGGCTCCCACACTCTAAGTAGGTAAACCGAAATCAGAAAGTGTCCTTGCTTTTCTGTGGCTTCATTGGTGGTGTTGTAAGACTGCGTCTCTGAACGTCCTCCTTTTGGGGGAGACTGTTACCCTACAGTCCCCGGACAGTGCACGCCTGTGGGCGTCCCGTGCCTTGGTGCAATATCGCGGACTCGTGTCGACGTTCAGCGGAGAGAGCTGAAAACCTTGCTGGGAGAATCAGGCGGTGACTTTGCTGATCACGGGGACCCATGACGATATGGAGCAATTCAGAATGACGTGGCATCAGCCGCCCGGTCGCGGTTCTCCAGGGCGTCTCTGCAGAGCAGCCGAGCTGCGGGAGAAGCGCTTCTGAAACTGGAGTCGGGGGGCCAGAGGGAGCCGGCCGGGCTGGGTGTTAAAGGCTCAGCGACCACGTTTGCTCGCGCTGTCGCGCTGTTCTGGAACTTATTCCACTGCGTTAAAATGGATTCCTAAGGGACAGAAGAATGACGCAGAGCGGGAGAGGGAGAAGCTCGATGGCACGGGTGGATGTCCTGCTGCTGACGAGCGAGGCGTCTCTCCTACCAACCCCGGTTTTGCATTCCGTGGTGCATCCGCGCTTCTCTGCCTGCCGGCCGCACCGGCCACCGTCGCGCAGGCCCTGGTGAGAGGAGCTCGATGCACTGATAGAGTGGAATTTTTTCTAGTCTTTTAAAAAATGAAAGTAGAACTCTTTTTTTAAAAACAGATAAGTGTAAACATTAGCCATTACCATCAGTCTTCTCATGTTTAAAGCCTGAAATTCAATGGAGAAAAAAAGTTTCCTGTGTAAATATCTATGTGACATTTGACATCATTTAAACTAAATGTTAACTGGCGGCTTGGCCTTCGATTCCGACCTAAGTGGAATGGGTTCACCGCTCCCTGAATTCACGCAGCTGTGCTTCCTCGTCGCAGGGGCTGGTCGGGGGTGGAGAAGGACTCTCCCAAGGCTGGGCCGTCCCCACACAAGTCCCCGGACACTTCGCCCTCCTCCCCCTCCGTGTCCTCCCACGGGGAAGAGGGGCGTTACTGCGCTTGTTTGTTTTCTGATCATAATGCCCCGTCTTGGGAGCTCATGAATTAGCTACATGGTGACAGAACAGGTGGCTGCATCCGTCACCCAGCAAAGGTCACCTCGGGTGTGAGCAACGGTCCAAGGCAGCCATCCACGCTGTGCTCAGCGTGCCCCACACGAGGTGTCCCCAGGCGTCACAGCAGGGGATGGCAGCCGGAATGTTCTGCGCCACCTCGTCAGGGCCGTAGGCCAGCAGGGCACACCCTGCCTTCACTATGTCACCGCCCCACCTAGCGGCAGGTGAGACTGCAGCGGCCCTGCGGCGGCAGCGTGCTCCTCGCCACATCCCACTCCCAGCCCTCCAGGACCAGCCTCCTCCCTCCTGTTGTGGGAAACGGACGGTCCTCAGCCTGGGCGGCCTGTCCAGCACCCAGGGCCATGTGCTCAGCCTGGCCCGTCACCTCCCTCCTGCCCCACAGAGCCGAGGGGGCAGTGCCGGCTGCAGGTCCCTGGCTGCCCCGACTCTGCTCAGCACCACTGACCAGTCCACGTGGATACAGCAGCTGCCACGGACGGGCTGGAGAGGTGAAAGGAATCACAGCACCAGATGGAGACTAAAACTGCACAGTGCGTGCCTGTCCCGTGATCCAAAGGGGAAGAACTCAAGAGTTAAGCACCAGAGCTTTTCTCGCTGCAAAAATCCCCTCTCTGACCACTGTTGTCATGTGTCTACCTGCCCAGCGGGAAGCTCGTCCCCAGGCCAGGGGACATTCCCCAAGGCAGAGTCCTTCCATCTGTGGTGACTGGAAGGGCTACAGTAGAACTGTTGGCGACAGCCACCGGGACCCCAGGTCCCACAGAAGGGCTCATGCCTGTGTCCCACAGGGCTGTGCAGGTGAGGGTGAGGCCCCAAACTGTCACCCAGGGCTGCACCGCAGGCTTGTATATCCCGCTGTGGGGACACACACGTACCTGTACACACAGACACTCCACACAATATCCACTTTCCATGACGACATAGTCCCAAACCCTGAAAGAAAAAGGACACCTGTTCTAGCTGCTTTCCTAGGACGGCTCTCGTTCCCGGACGCAGCATCGACCGCACAGAACGGTGCCGCCCCGTCCCCCGTCCTCGCTTCTGCCTGGGCACAGGCGCAGGGCGTTTCCCCGCCGACGCCGTCTAGGTTAGTGTACCGGCGGGGATGTGGCGCTGGTCCTGTGCCGGGACTCAGCACTTCCTGGCGCCTCCTTCACCTGAGTCTCTCGAGCAGACACCTGTCGGTCTCCCTGGGTCCACCTGCACGGCTCCCGGAGCGCCTGCGCGGTGAGTTTCCGCCCACTCCTGTCTGTGCGGAGAGCCGCGGGGTGGGACGTCCCCACCTGTCTGTGGCCGGGTGAGCGGCGGCCCCACCCTGACGCTCACTGGTGCACGTGGCCCGCGTGGCCCTGCGGTAATGACCAGCCTGGGGCCGTGGAGTTTGCATCCAGCTAGAATGCCCCAAAAGGCACTGACAACACCCGGTCCGCCTGGCTTTTCGAGGCTTGGGAAGGAGGAACTCAAGTCACACCGCGAGGCGGCCACCACCAGAACTTAATTCGCATGTGATCTTTATCACGCAAGCAGATTTCTCTTCTGTTGGAAATGATTTTAGGAAAATCAAGTACTATTTTGTTCATTTTCATGGAAGATCTTTTTTATAAAGGATACTCCAGGGTTGTTTTTT